ACAACAACAACAACAGCAGGATCACCATGGCCAACAACAACAGAAGGATATCCATGGCCAACAACAACAACAGCAGGATCACCATGGCCAACAACAACAACTGGATATCCAGGAAATTATGTTACCTCTATATATTCAAGTGTATTAACAATGGATAACGAACAATATCCCGAATCAAACAAATACTACGAAGCGATTCAGGTCATTGCCAGGGCAAGCGGTCAATACAGCTTGGCAAGTTTAAGTAATATGGATACATATGGTTATCTCTACAATGGTATTTTCTATCTTGTCAGTCAAACTGTCAATCTCGTAACACACAACGATGATTATGATGGCAGCAGTCAGTTTAAATTGATCTCTACTCTTGAGGCAGGCGTTTCTTATACATTAGTTTTTACAACGTACGCCGGAGGTGTTACTGGTCCATTCTCAATTGTAGCATCTGGCCCGGGTCAAGTCGACTTTATCACAATTAATAATTCATCAAGGAAATAATGAGATCTTATAAACATTTCGGAGACAAGCTCGAAATAATGGTTGAAATATTTTAATTAAAAAAAGTATATATCTTTTTTGCTTGGCCTTGGAAACCTAGGTTTTGATTTTTCTGTGTGTTTACGTGTTTGTTCCTTTATTTTAAAAGTTTTTTTTTTGGATTATATGTATTTCTTGATTGATTTGTTGGATGAGGCATGTTGGTGGCAAAAAGATTAACAAGAACACATTTTTGATTTTTTCTATAATGTTAGGTACCTAGCTCAAATCCAAATAGTGATTTTGATAACCAATGAAGTGCTCTATCAAATGCATTCTTAGGGATCCAACAATGACGACCGAATTGTCGATTTATCATCACCAGTTCATCGGTCGAAAACGATACATCAGTCACCATTTAACGGTAACCGGTATGGACTGATACTCATCGATACTCATTGATATTATGTAATAATTAACAGCAATCCGTGCATGAATAACTGTTTTCCAAAGGGTATGAGCGTGGATGGCCGAGGATGCGAAGGTGAGCGTGGGGTCTGGAAGTTCTCATTCCTTAGAGACGCACGCCCAACCCACCCACACCCGCACACCCACCCACACCCACACCCACACCCACACCCACACCCACACCTACACCCACACCACACCCACACCCACACCCACACCCACACCTACACCCACACCACACCCACACCCACACCCACACACCAACACTCACACCCACACCCTGTTGGATTCTACTTTTCCAGTAGAAGAATTCTATGTTATGCTATGCAGTGCTTTGTCGAAAAACAGATAAGTCCATAAAATTCTAAATTTTGTTGGGAAGGAATTCTGCTTGTCCTCTTATTACGATTGATTAATTTCTTCTACTATTTTGGTTGGACTGTAGCACTTAAGTGTTACCTTTTTAACAGTAAGAAACAATTTAGCAGGCTAAATTTACAATAATTTAACATATGTTGCTTATATCAGTCATAATGAACACATGAAACTTAGCATAAATTAAAATTTCTCAATAAACTAGTTTTAACTTCCTGAGTGCACATAGCCGCATGGCTATATGCACATGAGTGTACATAGTCAGTCCGCTATGTGCACTTAAGTGCAAATAGTCATTTGACTATGTACACTTAGGTGTACATAGCCAACCGACTATGTGCACTCGAGTGTATATAGCCACATGGCTATGTGCACCTGAGTGTACATAGCCACTTCCAAAAATAAATGTGCAATATCTTGGGAACCTTAAACTAAGGAATGCATTTCAAATTGACTGATGTATAGAACATCTAACTGAGTTTTTTTCTTGTATCATCAATAAAACATGTGTCGTATATACCTATTCGATGTGGTTTGTGCAATGATTACATTATTTATTTTAAGAAATATTCATTTCATGTTGATTCTTATATATATATTTCATCTTATAAACTAACTTTTTATCATCATCTCTTTTCGTGATTGACATTATTCTTCATCTTGGTTTTCATTTGATAGATACTTATGAATACTTCTGATTCGAAAAGAAATCTTTGTCGAAATAATACAATCGGTCGTTATTATCGTTTGCCAGTCTCAAAATATAGGCGTTTTAGGAATCAAAACAAGCATACATGACGAAATGGGTCCAATAATTGATAGAATCTCTCTTATTCAGATGTCGTTCATCACTACAACTATTAAGATATTTACAGATTGTAGCTAAAAGCAAGATTACTCGAAGACTGTCTTGAAACATAACATAACTTCATTTTCCTTCTTAATTACATTGAATGGGAATTCATCAAGATTTGAGCAACTTTATCAAAAAACTTAAATTTTCAGACACGTTGCTTCATCAAAATATGCGAATGAATCTTGCAATATATTATTGTATTTTCTTGTCACTATTCTCGAATTATTCGAAGGACGATTAAGAGAAATTAAACTGAAACATCAGTCATATTTGATTTAATCGATATGATACATCCCGTAGCGACTAAGAGTATTTGTAGACATTCTTTATCTCAAAAGATTCACGTCTCTTTTAATTCCTATGAAAAATAACAAGTGAGCTGTTTATCATAATTTTATACTTATTCTGAGAAATGACTTTATTTATGATAATCGGTTTTTACAAATCGTTTACCACAATCAATAAATACTTGAAATACGATACATATGTTCATCATGATTGTGACAAAATTAGATATTATTTATTCTAATTCAAGCTTTAGATACAACATGTATTTATTCTTTGACTATATTGTTTAACGTATTATCTGCGATGACTCGATGATATTCAATAATTAGATAACAGCGAAAGAGACTTGTCTGATTTGAGTGAAGCTAACCTATGTGTCTGTTAGACACAATTTCCTCTGTCTATTGTATGAATGAGTTGACTTAACTGACGTACAAACAGAAAATTCGCATATTGCACACAAAATAAAAGCGATCATAAGTAATATGATGAAAACACTAACAAAAATATGATAGGATTAAAAAAACAGCTCATCTGGAACTGAAACATGCAAAACCATCTAATAGCAAGTACGACAATGTGACAAGAAAATCCATAAACGAACTGAAACCAAAATACAGTGCCAGAAAAATATTGTTGAATGAAAGAGATGTCTGTTCATATAAGCAATTTTTAGAAATCGACTTATAACAATCGCACGATTAGAATGCATCAATTGACAGCCGCTTATATTTAGTAGATATTTTTGTAAATGAAAAGACAATGAACTATTGAATTCATCTATCATTCGTTTGATATTCATTGCTAACATAGCCGCACTGAGCAATGTATTGACTAAACGCAGGTTATTCGTAAACCAATGAAAGTTATTGACATGAAACGAAAGTCGAACACATACAAGAATTGAACAATTAAAAGTAAAAATAATCGTTAGTGAAAATTTGTGTAACTGAATAAACTCAGACATAAACCTATGCAGATGAAAAATCCCTGCTGACAGACTGATCATTATCTATACAACATATGTAATGTTGTGTGGATGTTGGTGTTAGATGACGACAAGACCAACATCCATGCCCACACTCACACCCTTAGTGATTTTGATCATTGTTCATATAATTATTTTCTTATTGACATTGTTTCATATGTTCTTAAATTAGCAAAAGATGATAATGAAAATAAATATCCTCAATGTTATCTTCAAAATTACTTTTTATTGAATATCTTAAATGTTCATTATTAAATTTATCAAGTATTATTTAGGATCGTTTGAAACCAATTGATAATGAATTAGAACATTTATGTGATCTATGTAGTTTATTAATTGCATCAATTCATTTGTATCAGACATTATGGACATTTTTACAATCAATACACTCGAAACCTACGTCGACATTTGATAATATCAATTATGATAAAATTTGACTGTCACGCAATATCAAGGACATAAAGAAAACTTTTTCCTTCCATTATATCATCCACATAAAGACATTCATAGCCAAAAATGATCTTCTAAACTACGTGGATGTTTTCTTTAACTAAAGAAAAATAAGAAGAGTTTTGCCTGAAGATTATTTATCTTCATTGATCATTCGCACCTTTAAAACTACAACATTCGTCTTGTACGACAACATATTGTAGTATTGGATGTGTTATTTTTCATCAAATATTTATTCAGCAATTACAATAAATACGATTTTGTGAAAGGTATAATTGGTTGTGTAATAAC